CACAGTAGAGATTGAAATCATATGTGGATTGATCCCCGCCCGATGAGGGGGGAGTTTTGGTTGGCGGAGGTTAGGGAGGGGGGATCGGTGGAGGAGTGATCTCGGGAGGTGAACCTTTCGATGGGGGAGGTGAAGAGAGATGGCGGCTAAGAGTCGACATGCGAACAGAAGGATGAGTTAATTACTTGGGTCGAATGTGTAGGGGGAGTTAAGGGGAGTGACGTGGGCAGGAGAGGGGAAAGTGGCGGGGTAAAATGTGGGAGGGCGTTGGGGGGTCTGGGGGTGCTTCACTTGGAGCACCCTGTGTGTGATGCCGGTGGATTGAGAGTGTGTTGAAAGATGGCGGGCTGTGAGGAGGGGGGGGGGGGGGGGGGGGGGGGGGGGGGGGGGCGCTACGGGAGAGGAAGATGGAGAGGCAAGGGAGGAGCTAGCGGGAGGGGAGAAGGGTGTTAACGACTTATTCACTCGGATGTTCGAGCTTGAAGTCGTGGATGTCCTGTGTGTAATGCCTGTGAACCTTTGTCACCAGGCGATCTTGATGCAGTGGGCAAGGTGGTGGGGACTCAGCGACTCCACATGCGATGACTGCATCCACTCGCGCACGTGCGGCGCAAACAAGGACCCTTTGTGTCCTTCTTGGTCTATGGATGGGCGCCCGCTGTTTGCAAGTGACTTCAAATGAGTGGCGCACAGCTTGGCTGGACGAGACAGTGTGTGAGGCGGGAGTCGGCAAGCTGGCGGGTGGCGGGTGCAAGGTTGGATTCCTGCGGGCGAAAGCCCAATGGGCCTGGGACGGTTGCTAGCGTAAAATAGCACAGCGCTTCGTTCGCGCTTACCGTCAGCGCGTTCGCCTGGTGGAGCCTGTTTTTTAACCAGACCCTATTTCCGTACTTGTGCCGCATCAGGTGCACGAGCATGCGTGCGCGTGCGCTATGTGGCGCACATGCGCAACTCTCGCGCATGTGATGCGCCACATGTATGCGTTTATTGTAGTATGACCTTCAAGATAAGGTAGAATTTCTATCGTATGATATGATCTTCAACATTGTATAATAATAGGTGGGGCACTGTTCGGGACAAACTCTACATCACCCCAGTATTCCCTTATGGGAAACTAACAAATGCCTGGAAGCCACCTTGCTTGCTAAGCCTCCCTTGACCCACTTTCCCTTCGGCCAGGCAGAGAGCTCAACCCTCCCGCATACTGTTTGTTGCACAGTATTGTCTTGGGAGCAAAATGGATGATGTAAGAGAATCATTGGGATGATAAGGAAGGAAGGAGGACGCCATCAGGTACTCAGCAAACAAAAGTTGGGTGGGCCCAAACACAATACAGACAGATTGGTGGGGACTGGTCCGACTTGTGCTTTGTCATTGAACTCTGGCCAAATCGCTTGGGCAGATATCTGTCCAAAGGCTATGTAGACCAGGACTGGTGACTCTGGTGAGGTCAAAACCGACTCCCAGTTTTGTGTACTTGAAGCTGTTTTTTCATGGTATGGTGGACCCAGTGTCCAACAAGCGCTTCCCCAGTAGACTGGACCCATGAACAGCTGGGCTCCTGAGACTCTTCCTTTCAACCTAGGCGGGCTTGCTTAGTGATGCTTTCCTTGAACTACCATTGCCCTTTTTGCAAAGTCACCGAACCAGCACATTTTCGTGAGCCCGGAGCAGGGACCAATAAAGTTCTGGGCCTACCGGTAGCAGCAGGGAGCAAAAATATGTGAGCTTTTGCCGCCATTGGTATTCCACCAAGATTTGGATTTTTGATAACACTTTTCCCGGAAAAATCAGCAGTAAATCTATGCCCCTGATTCTTTTCCAGAACTCTTACCAACAATCTCAAGTGTGGAAAATCTCCAAAGTTGGTGCACTGAGAAATTTGTGCACTGCTACTGACCTCTCCCCTCAGCCGGTAGGCCAACCCATTCCGTAGTTGGCGCGCGCACTGCCATGAACTTCAGATTGCAGTGGGGCCAGTTTGAAAATAAAAAACAAAAGCAAATGAAAGACCCTGCAAATGTAAGATCTGAGCGCTTGCTGATCTCTCAACACCTCTCACCTCTCCAACGAAGGACTTAGTATGTACGTTCTCAGAACAAATTTCCTTGGAGTTCCTGATCCCATTGATAAGGGACTGGTCGAAGCCTGAACTCCAGCTATGTTGCCTGCAACATATGGCATTGCTGAGTGAGCCTTCAAGGTTAGAAAGGTAGCAGACTTTGTGCCCCTGGTTTACCCCAGTTTCCCATCAACCTCGCTTCCCTTTCAAACTACTGCCAGCTCATTCTTGTCATTAGCCTCCCCTGTGAGGTTACATTAAGTTCTGGAGGGTACACTGTTATGATCTTGGCCAATTTCGAGATACACATTCATCAGGTAGTACAATGCCGTCCACTTGCAAAAAGAAGCAAATGAACTTGAGAGGAGAGAGAGGGGTAGAAGAAGAAGAAGTAGAAATAAAAAAGAAAAAGATGATGTACACCTGCATAGACCAATGAGAATGCTCTTCTTCTTCGCCAATCACTCTCCTCCTCCTTATCTCCTCCTCTCTTATTCACACAAGAAATAATAATACAATATTGAATGGCTGAACCAGAATCAAAGTCTGAATCCCTCTTCTACTGCAGGTATCACTTGAGGTCCACCATAGCCATGGCCACCTCCCTCACTCTTCACTCTCATAGGCCGAGGCTATGGCGGACTACTTGGGTCTGGCCCTGATGTCCAAATGACAACGCAAAGCAGCTATGGCTGCTCTAGTTCAGGCTGCCATGCCTAGCTCTGCCTCGAAGCTTCTTGGTGTAGCTCTACCCCAGCTGGGGCCTTCCTGCTGCAGCGCCCACCAAGGTGATGAAGATGGCTGCCACCATAGCCAGGTAAGTACCTCTGGCGCTCCTCCCTAGCCCTGGCCTTATTCCTCCTCCGTGTCCTTGCTCCTTCCCCAGCAGCACTGCTCCAGCCAGCGCTCCAACCAGTGTGTAGCCAAACTTGCACACCGACAATGAGGCTGGGCTCTTCGCCTGGCCTGGAGATATAGCGGCCTGCTTGCCTCTTGGGCAGTGACTTCCAGGCCGCTCGGCCTTCCAAGCAACCGGTACCTCCTCCCTTACGGCGGGAAACATCATTGCAGACTCTGATATTGCCCGTACAGGCCCTAGACTCGGACTGGTTGGACTGGTACCCGCCTAGAGTCCCTAGACCTAGCCTACAACTACTGGGCCTCTAAAAATGCCACTTTTGTCTTCTTCTGCTCGGCCTTCAGTACCCGGCACATCTACCTCTTCAGGGTGTGGTACCGGCCTACCTGCTACTTGAGTGTTTCCCCACTGCTTCAAGTGTTGCAGGCCTCTTCCCCCGCCACTTGAGTGCTTTCCCCCGCTGCAATCCTCGATGTCACGGCCACAGGTAAGTACCGGTCCTGAGGGTCCGAGGAACGAACAAGTGCCCTTGCGGGTCACACACACACTCAAGTCATCAAGCACTCAGACAGACATGCAGATCAGCAAGCGTGCACACACAGAATTAGAGAACTTAGTAGCAAGCGGGAAACTCAGCAAGGCATTCAGTCCATGGGCAAAACTCAGAAATCAGCTGTGTGTCTCAGTCCGTGTTTGGTCAGGTCAACACAACACGCTGAATCTAGACATCTTGCCAATACATCGAGGAAAGCTGTATCGTATGCGCGAGCTCTCTGCAGACCGATGGGCAGCAGCATTCAGTCACTCAGCCTGCTGAAGCACACTTGGGCGACGCGCTGCTGAAGAGCAGCGCCAGTTTGGTTCGAACTGCGCTAGAGTAGCAGTTAGAGGAGTAGGAGGTAGTGGGAGTGCGAAGGCTGGAGCCACAGCCACAAGGGGAGGTGAGACTTACCTGGGTGCCATAGCTGGGACTTGGCTCCTGCGACCTGCATCAAAGAGCCACCATCTTCGCTCATAACTCCCTCTATGATAGCCCCTTTCACAGCCAACAAAACCACTCCCATCACGTTCGTAATTCCCTCTCTCCCTACCGCGATAGGTACAATCATTACCATGATAATCACGTTGCTCACAATGCCTCGCCATTCATTTGAAGCCGACGCGATTCTGGCTACTACTCCAACTTCGACGATGGATCCCAACACACGCGTACTCCACATATAGATTTTGCGGTTGCTCATACCAGAAAAATAACTTGAAGTAAAGTAACGTAACCACTTAAGAGAGAAACAATTGAGTTTACTTATCTTGGTATAGTGATTCCAAGATAGTTCACCCTCTCGATACACAGTATAGTACGAATGCAACTGAAAACATAGTAAGCTAACTCAAGTCAAAGAGTGACAAACACAAATCATGTCTTTGTGACAAGAGAGAGGAGAGCCATCTCCTTCTTCCTCCTCTGCTCCCTTCTTCTTCTTCTTCTTCTTCTTCTTCTTCTTCTTTTCTTCTTCCTCTCCCCCTTCCTTTTCCTTCGTCTCCTCCCTACCTCCATCATCCATGGTTTCTTCCCCATGTGTGTGTGCAAGGAGGGATCTTTTTTATGTGTTCCCCTCCTTGCTGGTTTGACATGTGTGATGATGTCTGTGGGAGTCGAGTCTGAGTCTGACGAGTCAAGTCACAAACTTGTGTCTTCTGCTCTGCTAAATTGCATTACATCGTTTCCATTCTGGATGCGCATTACCTATTTGCTGATTGCATTGTTTGTTCGGAGTCCTATTCATCGCATTGGCGCTGCTTCGGACCTGTGCATCACTCATCTTCAGACGAGCATGTATCAGGAGTGCCGCAACTAATTTTCAGATCAGGCGGCCACTTCTAGTCTCTAAACATAATCCTGAGTGTGATTCTTTGCTCATGTTCTACGTTGTAGTGTCTGTTTAAAGAGAGCATTTTTCTCTGGGCGGCCTGCTTTGGTTCACCAGCCTGGAGCTGATCACCGTGTTTGTTTTTTATCGGAAGAGGAGTGGAAGCGTTAGCTTGTAGAATGAGATAAATACGTGATGGTAGCCATGAGGCTTGAATTTCCTGGCCAGATCTTGTGAATTTCTCGATCACCTCGTCACCTGTAGTCTGCAAGGTATGTCTTCTTGAACACGGCGTCGAGCCAGAATGTGTTTTCTTTTGTTTCCGTTTCTTTTCTTTTCAAAAACGGGGTTTATCCTCTGATTTGATCGTATATGACTGGGCTTGATCTCTGGACCGGTTCATGAGCTGTAGTATGTGTACCATTCAGCCAATTGTAAGGTAGTTAGGAGGTGTTGAGTTTGCTCATTCCCTTCCGCTGAATGCTTTTGTGAATGAATCCTCTGACATGATCACAATGGTCCCTGCTGCAGAGGGAGGAGGAGGAATTGAAGAGCAGAGATGCTTTGCCAGAGGAATTCTGAAGCCAACAGCATGAGTGTGTGAAGTATTTGGTAGCATCTATTCTCAGATGTCATACCACTTAAGGCAACACGATGAACAAGGCAGCCACAGCACAAGGGATTTCCTTGGTAACCGGATACCTTTGATATTTGTTGATGTGCACTCTGTCATGGCCGTCCGTCTTCTTGATCATCAGCTCTGGGTGGGGGGCAGGATCACATCAACAGCATCTAAGCCATCCAATGTTACCATTTATGTAGAAGTTAACATTTATTTTGTTTTGTCTATGCTTTGTGCCTCTGTTGCTGCTACAGGTACGATGGTTTCTTCTTGTCAATGCTTGTGACAAGCGTGTATCCTTCTACGTATTTTGGATGATGGATTTTTCTTTTACCGAAAAAAAAAAACTGCTTGACAACAAATAAACAAGAAAAGTGTCTGGTGTAAGATTGGAAGGACAGATCTCTATGCTACACCACAACTGGAAGATGCAAGTTAAAAGACAGTGTGATGTCACACTGCCTTGCGCTGTTTATAGTTTCATTGTTATCGCTCTTCTCCCTTCTTGAGTTCTTATACTGAATGCAGTATAGATTCTATAGAAGCCATGCTATGCCTAGGCTCTTCTCCCTTCTTAAGTTCTTATACTGAATGCAGTATAGAAGCCATGCTATTCTCATAAGTTTGATTGGCACACCACATGCATGTGCATGTCTCACTGCTTGCCTTCGACCTTCTGACATCAGATTTGATAGACATCCCAACTTCTCTGGGGTATTGGATGCCACGTGCCCCCTTCTTGAGGATGAGTTTTGCCGCCTTGACTTTGTTGTCCTTCAGAGTTGTTGTGGGAATTAACTGGAAGAAATATGAGACCTGCGGAGACCCTCTGCACATCTGGACAGTGGTACGTTGGCTGTCAAATCACTTCCCTTAATGCTGCCTCTTGGCTTTACCATGCATCCCATCCTATGCGAGCCTGTATCCCTGTGTCATCCTTGCTCAGTGAAGATCTCTAAACATACCCGTCACCTATCCCCTCCTTTCTCCTCACCTACTCGTCACCTCTCCTCGGCTCTGTTCCTTCTCCTCGCTGCATCCTTCCTGCTCCTCCCTCACTCGTCCCTGGGGGCAATATCGCTGACAGCTTACACCCTCTTCATGCAAACACAAGGTACACTCATGATCACTGTAGTACGCTGGAAATCAGTGTAAGTTGTCTTGGAGGGAAGACCGTAGTTCTCTGCTATTTGACCCCTTGACACCTTTCTTACGCTAGGACTTCCCTGAACTTATCTGACCTTGTTCAGGACCGAATTCAGTCCAAATAGTCAGGTGAGAACTCCCTCACCTCTTTATCTACCCTTAATGGTCCCCTCCTATATTGCTCCTCTCTCTCTCTCTCTCTCTCTCTCTCTCTCTCTCTCTCTCTCTCTCTCTCTCTCTCTCTCTCTCTCTCTNTAGGAAAAGCACAGGCTGCCTTCTCCTCAAAGAAAATAGAGAATCTACATTCTCCTCCTGAAATCTTGAAACACCTCCAAGAATTCAGTTGCTGCTGGCTTGGGGCACCCCAAGGGTGAAAACTGGGGCAGGTAAAGTGGAAAGGGGCTCAGGGCGAGGACACTGAGGAACTCGAAAGGAATTACTACTTAAAGTTTGGGGAGTGGTCCGCGCTTGATCCAGAGATTCCCTTGAGGACTCCCTCAGACTTTCCTGACCCTTTTTCCCCATGTCCAAGAAGTATGGTTCCAAGGTCATGGTTTGGATACGAGTGAGATAGAGGGTTTCAAGCTGGTTTATAATAGTGAGATCCGGCGCCCGATATGGGTAAAGAAGAGGTTTGAACCCCCCCTTGGGTCGGATGGTTTGGTGATGGTTAATTAACCAATAGAGTACCAAAAACATGAAACCCTTTGCCGAGACGCTGCTGGGTCAGGGATAGAGGAAGCAGTGGCAAGAGGATGGCATTGTAGCTTGGAAGTTTTATTTAGCCCTTGATTATCCTATAGGTCGGTAAAAAAATGAAAAATAAAAAATCTCTGCCCCTACGCCCTCTGTCAGAATTCCCTGATCTCTTTCCCCCAGCTGCAATAGCTTTGGTTTCCAGATCCTGGTTTGGGTATAAGAGTAATTCGTTTTTAACAGTTGTGACATAAGCGTCTATGAATGGTAGGCAGATTAGGAGAATGAGAGCTAGGAGTCAACGTCAGTGCCGGCGCCCAGAGAAGGGTGAAGCGGTTATGATTCTCCCACAAATTCTCGCATTCTTCAGTACTCTTGCAACCATTGTTATTGAGGGACGGTCGACCCAGTTTCCAGCAGGTGCAGCTCCCCACCAATAGATGGAGTGATTTTATAGAACTCTATGAGGGGGGGATGCTCGCACCACCCTCCCTAGTAGGATTCAGAGTTTTAAACCACTAGTACCTTTGCTGTCCGGTTTCGACAAGTTTTGGTCTACCTCCGAACTTTCAGGAGGCCGGGTCCGACAACGGCTGCCGTTGATAAATCTGATCGGCGGCTGTCGTTTCGTTTCGGCCTCCTGAAAGGTCGGAGGCCCAGTATTTTCAAACCTACAAAGGTACTAGTGTGAGGATGTGGCTCCTCAACAGGCCTATGGGGCCCCTGATGCAAGTGTGCCCGCCCTAAGTGAAGGTGGGCCTACCAAATCACGAGAGGCCCAAATGCTGTCAATTTCGGACATGGGGTTCAGACAGTTGTGTTGCGTCAGTTGGTTGAGGGAACCCAAGACTCGAGCTGCAAAGAATTTCCACAGCTTCCAGGCCTTTCTGAAATGCAGGCCCTGGGAAGGATTCGAAGCAACATACACAGACAGTTGGGAGGCCTAACTGAACGAGGCCCAGCAGCTGCAGCAGAGGCCCAGCCACCTGGGCCTTACCGGAAGCTTCTGGGCGCAGGCCCAGCCCAGCCAAGCCGCAGGCCTGGCCAGAACTCTTCCATGTAGGAAAGAGCTCGCGGCCAGGCAGGGTATTCGGGCACTTGCAAGCTAGCGGCAGCGCTGCTGGAGCGGAGTCTTGCGGGCTGCCGCTTGCACTAAGTCAAGGTGCTGCGCACGTGCGGTCGTGTACGAGGAAGGGCGCTGCTGAGGGCAGCGCCATAGCCCAGCCTTCATAGCTGGCTGGGACTTGGTTGTACAGCAAGGCGCAGGAGTGGTCTTCGGGTGTACAGAGGGAAGACGTGGGTGAAATTCAAGGGAGAAGGCAATAGGATGATGATGATGATGATGATGATGTGAGGGCACATACCTGGTATTGGCGATGGTCTGCATTGGTCGACATCTTCAAGTACTTCGTTGGCTGCCGACGTCAACAGTTGCATTGTCCATTAGTAGGCAGATAGTAACTGCGTAGGGAGTAGGCTGGGCGCCGAGCGCCAAGTAGGGAGAAGGGCCTGGATACTTATGTTGGTGATGGCGAGAGCAAGCTCTCATTGACATTCAGTTTCAGTGTTACGATTCTCCATTGGTGTTGCATTGGTGCAATGCTGCTTTCTGGACACTCTGATACTTTCTGGCTTTCAAGGTGATTATGCAATCTGGATTTTGTCATCTTGCCATTGCTCATTTTCCTTGCACTAATTAAAAAAAAAAAAGAACTTCCTTCTCCTTATATGGGGGGCAGCTGCATTTTTACTGCGCTACTTTCTTCTCTCCTTATTTTTACCTCAGACTACCTACCACTAGCTGTGTACTCTAACTGGTCAGTCCACCAACCGGACCTGCAAGGTGTATGGCAATTTGACCAGGACGGGGCACCGCTTCACACTCGATAGTGAGGGACAGGTGGCCTATTATAGGGTTTAAGGTAGCAGCTACGTTAAGCCCTGATATCTACTAAGTTCTAACTTACAGTAAACTACACTACCACGTATGAGTTCAACCTATCCCCTAGGGGCTGAGCCTATCCACTCTACTCTGGGCGGAAGTAGTACCCAGGCTATCGCTAACCCCCAGCAAGGCCTGGAAGGAGAAAGTCAATCATCTTTTCTTGATTCTGAAGTTCACCAAGGGAACTTTTTTGAACGACTCTTCGCTAGTTGAGAAAACAAAATAAGAAAAACATAGAAATGCAGCCTTAAAAGGGGGAAAAAAAGAAAGAAAGAGAAATGCAGCCTTATCATCAGGCCCTTATGGTCTTGGCTTTGATCAGTTCTGAGGAAGCTGGTTTACCCTCACCCTGGTTGAAACCAGAGCCATATGGTTTAGACTCTGGTTGAGACATGTGGTTTAAGCTAGTTTTCATGCATGCCCTTGCTTTTCTCCTCTGGATAAGTGCTGGTTCATTCCTCTTTGAAATCTGGGCTTTGCTGCCCTGCCTCTCTCCGTCTGGCCTGTCCTGGCAGCGCATTGATTCTGATTATGATGTGGCGCATGTGAGTCGCACCTTTCATAGTGCATACTGCACACACACCCTTCTCTCTGTCTCTAGGTCAATAAGTGCTTAGTCCCTCCATAAGGAGCAGGACCTCTTTTCCCTTTTGCTCAGGGTTGTCAGACCGCCTACCGCTGATGCCGATGGCCGATGGTTTTCTTGGCTACCGGTCAGGCTGACCTGTAGGCGGTCTGCCAACCAGTCACTAGAAGGCCGTCCACTATTTTGTTTTTTTAATTCGAGTTTGAGACTGTACTGCGCCTGTCTCTTATACACATCTAGATGTGTATAAGAGACAGGAATACACCCGACCCACGTCTACTTGGCCTTGTTCACCCTTGCGGCTATGGTCGCTGTCGTCTTCCTCGTCTACCTAACGGGGCGCCCAATTGCCCTTCGTCTTTAACCTTCCTCGATAGTCCAACCGGTTGGTCGCACAAGCGCTACAGCAGAGCTTTCACAACATGCTAATTGAAAAGTGACCCGATGACCTGATGAAGCACTGTAGCAACTATAAATAGCAGATGAAGTGAGTTGTTGTCGGGTTCGGACCGGTACCGGTTGATGCGGTCTCTTGGCTGCAGTTTGCCAGTTTCGGAACTTACTGGAGTTTCGCAAGATGCTGCTGCAAATTTGGACTTTGGGACTGCAGAGTTTTCTTATCACGTACCGGGCCTATGACTTTTGATGACCTAACGGTCGGACCCTATGACGCTTTGGCGCTTCGGCCTCCAGGGGCGACCGGACTCCTAGGACCTGGACCTGGACCTGGGAACTGGGCCTGGGCGGGACTCTGGGATTGGGACTCAGGAATTTGAGATTGATGAACGACTTTGGGCATACTCACACCGGGCCTTCCTACACAGTTATGGACAGAACTGCACCCACATTCATCCAGGTACGGTGAATAGTCTGAGGGCCCGCTCCACTACTCACAAAATGCATAAAAGACAAAAGCACGCAAACGAACGGCTCTGGGCATAGGCCTCAGAGCTTATGGGCCTCGTTCTACTTCTCATCGCGTGCTCAAAAGACAAAATATGGCAGTGTACCTGACCATGTTCTAGCGTAAGGTTCATTGTCATTTTGCACATTTGGAGAGTAGTGGAGCGAGCCCCTGAGTACGCTCTCTGACATTTAACTCTTTTTTTTTTTTGGAGTTCAGGCATAGGGCTACTACTCACCAAATGTACAAATTGAGAATAAATCTTCCTCTAGAACATGGAAAAACACACGGCCATATTTTTTGTCTTTTGTGCATGCGGTGAGTAGTGGAGCGAGGCCTATAAGCTCTGCAGGACTATGCCCAGAGCCGTTCGTTTGAGTGTTTTTTACGACTTCTTCACGTACGTGGACAGGTCTGTGGGCACATTCATCGTGGAAACATATATGGAGGAGACTCCACGAACTATGAGCAACAGCATGAACAAGACGACAAAAAACAGTAGGAAACTCTATGGCCTGCAACAAAAAGAGCACCTCCGCGAAGGAGGAAAAATAAATAAATGGTACTGGC